ATACATACATACATACATATATATATATACATATTACAGTTAAGCTCTTCCATTCCGTAATAATGCCCATAATGTGCTATTAGGGTATGTTTCAATCTGCTAAGAAAGAAAAGACAAGGTAACAGATCTTGCAAAGATTTCAGAAAAACAAACCAGGATTCAACAGAGTAAATATTTCACTGTAGGATTTCATTATGGGATAGTCAGTTAAAATGGGAGAGTTAAATCCATGTGCTGTTGTGAGCATTGCAAAAATTCACCCTTTCCACCATTTATTTGCACAGGGATTGCAAAGGCGATGTCTGCAAGTTAGTAATTGGTACAGACTTTATTCAGGAAAAAGCTGAGAGAATAAAGCCAGCCTTCAGAACAATCAGAGGGGTGACATTAATTGTGCAATCGAGATATAATGGATCCATAACTCTGAAAATGTGTCATAGCTTTTGCAGCACAGTGTATGAAACAAGGATGGTTTACAAGGTTTAGAGAAGTCTAGCGAATGATATTGACATCAGTTCAATTTTAGTTTCCTTACTACTGCTTACTCTTTCTGTGCTTTGCATAATGTTGCCTATTTTAAAAATAACACTGTATTTATGCATAACGAAGAGCAGGCTTCCTCATCCTGTTGCCTTCTAAATATATTGTGAGTAGAACTGAGTATATTCTCAACTAGCAGAGTTTGGCGTAGTGGTTAAGGTATCAGGCTTGGAAACCGGGAGACTGAGTTCCAGTCCCACCTGAGGCACGAAGCCAGCTGAGTGACCTTGAGCCAGTCACACACTCTCAGCCCTAGGAAGCAGGCAATGGCAAACCACTTCTGAAAAACCTTGCCAAGAAAACTGCAAGGACTAGTCCAGGCAGTCACCAGGAGTCAACCCTGGCAGGCAGGCAGGCAGGCAGCAAGGAAGAAGGGAGGGAGGAAAATGGCTTTGTTGGCTGGGAATTCTGGAAGCTGTAGTTCCAATACATCCAGAAGGTACCAGTTTGGGAAAAGCAGGTGTAAAAATTCAGAATTATCACCACACTAAACCAATTTCATGCATCATACTGACTGGCATATATTTTCCTGTTCTGAACTGAGAACAAAGGTGCAGTCTTTTGAATGTCAAGAGTATGAATTACATACATTTCCTTGCAGACACATGTCCAGCGTGGGAAACAGACCTGATAAATACAGAGGATTGTATGTAACCCACTGGACAGAGTAGATGTTAAACTCCATGGCCCAACTTTCTCTTCAGCTCCAACTCCTAAAGCTCTGTATTTTCCAGCAGAGAAAACAGAGAAAATCAAGCATTTTATAGGTAGGGCTAAAAGAAATCTGGTTATCAACCACTGTCTCCAAAGGAAAAAGGAGCTATGTTACATGAAAAACACATTTTATAAAATGAAGTCTTGCTGTGCTGAACCTGATGTTTTTGCAACCAACCTATTAGTAGAAATAGATCTAAAATTAGTTGGATCTTATGCTCTGAAGAGGGAGGGACACTTGCAAGGAAGTTTATGTGGAGTTTATAAACAGTGTGCATTAAAAGGATCA